AGAGAAGAGCAATTTGTCTAATAAATGACTCCAAAAATTACAGCTGAGTCTTGTTTGCCACGTTTGTTCTATTTAAAAAGAATGAGCAAGTATCTTATTTCTTATTACTTACTAGGACATTTGTTGTATTATTTATAAGAGTCAAAAACCTTAACTAAAAGCCACTCATCTCTGACCACAGTCTCCCATTAGCTTTAAATTCAGGAAAGAGAAAAGGATTGATCACTAGATCAATAAATCTAACCTTGGATCTGACTAAAAGCTTCCTTTAACCTCCTTCCTCCAGCATCCTTTTTCAAAATTAAAGTATCCCCATTTTTAATTATTTAAGAGCGTGTCAATTTTATAGTAAGGCCCTGTATGACTGCATCATACAAGGATTTCTTTATGCTGGAAGCCCACCAGCATCTTTAAAAGGACAGCATTTAAATAATGATAATTTGTTGGTTTGGCTTTTTTTTAAAGTTGGATGTGCTGCTATAGATACACATATCCCTCTCCAAATACACAAATTTCTTGATGAAATACACTGGATTTCATCAAGACAAATGCTAGAATAGGAAAATAGAGAAGAAATGTGTATTCCCAATTATCAGACACCCCAAGCCCATCAATGACTCTGCTGCAGCTGAAGTCGCTCTGTATCAATGGCCCCAGGCCAATGAGTGACATTGTTACAGACCTGCAAAAAGTCATTGCAGGCAAAAGCAAACTCCAGAGGATACAATTAATGGAAATTAATTTTTTTCTAAATCATCCCATAAAAATAACTTGGATATGTAGTTTGCCCAGCGTGCATCAAGAGCCTCACCATTTCCCTCCCTCTTATATCAAACTAATAATCAGATCTTTTTTAACCAGAAGCTGCTCACACCAATTCAACACACTGTTTCCACTGTGCTGCTGTGGGACAACCTTCAAAACATCTCAAAGCACATCTTGCAGACACAATTGCTGATGCCAAACTGGTTGGGTGGCCCAAACAGGGGAGCTGTGACCAGAGTCACCTCTGGATTTATGGCCTTGCTCATCCACTGGCCTGCTGCATAATCTTGAACACATGGGTGTGGGCACATCTCTGCACCTTCCCTTGTTCCACTTTAAATTTTCATCCTGAAGAATGGGGGATTTCTGTCTTGGCAGGATTTGGGCTGAGAAGAGAGGCTGTGGACTTCTCATCCTGGGAAATGTTCAAGGCCAGGTTGGATGGAGCTTGGAGCAGCCTGGGTGGTGGAAGTTGTCCCTGCCCATGGCAGGGGTGGAATTGCATGATCTGTGAGGTTCCCTCCAATTCAAACCATTCTGGGATTCTAGGATTCTAGAAATGGAAGTTCTTACCCTGTTTTTGAGGCTAATTTTTAAGAGGGTTTCAAAATTGAACTCAAGACTTGCTTGTCTTTGGGCCAAGGTGTTCTAAGGTGGTACTGGAATGAGCAGCACTGATAGGACTGATAATGACAAGTGGGAGGAAAACCTTAGGGTGACAATTCTTGGCATATTGTAAAACCAGTCCTGCCAGGTTTATTTAAAACAGAGAGGGAAAGAAGAGAAAAAAAGGTAAATGGATTTAAACAAAATAGATATTTTGAATTTTTCTGTTTCATAAAACAGGTACAGTTCACAGCATGGATCTTGCACAGACTGCATGTGTGACACAACTCAGTGTTGTTAGGGACAAATGTCACACAGGTGGACAAAAATCAGGAAAAAATAGTGGGAACTTTCACAAAATTCCATTTATCAATACTTTCCACAAAAGATTTCTCTAAATTAATGCAATTAACTGCCCCAGAGTCCAAAGGCACTATTTTTACGTGCCACACCTTCTTCCCCCAACTGCTGTATTATATAGGTCTCCTAAATTTGGAGTGCTCAAGATGTTTTTGGGGTAAGTGATGCATCAACTCATGTCAAAACAATGTAGGCTGAATCCAGAACGACACTGAAACACAGTGTGTTGGGGAATGATACCCCAAAAAAGGTTCTCTCCTGGCCTTTCATTTTGAAGGGACAAAGTCTTTGCTGATTTTGAAAATGACAGTGGCCTTCACTAACTTCTTAAACACCACTTTTGATCAAAATCTAATGTTTGTGGTCCTGCCATAAAAATAATGCTAATCCCTGTCTAAAATGATGAGTTTTTTTCCCTAATTAGGAGTTTCTGAAAGAGAATTTTCATCATGCAGACTGCAAATATCTCTGCTGTCACTCCAGATCTTGAACCAGCAGCTCTTCCTTCTTACTGCAGCCTCCCAAATCCCAGCCCACCATCCCACTGTGATGGGCACAGTGGACAGGAGCAGAGCAATGATGATCCCTACATTGCATTTGGAAAATGGCAGTGACAGGGTAAAATAGACTCAGCAATATGAATCTGCCCTTGATAAAATACAGTTTATACAAAAGGCAATGAATGAAAGGAAGGTAAAAATTACAGAAAAAAGCAGGGTGATTTTTCTGCCATCATTGCCACAATTCCACTTGGATATGGAGGAGGGAGGATCTCAGCTGGGATGAGCCACTATAAGTGTATCAATAAAGCCATGCTGATTTATAGCAGCTGAGAATTCGTCCTGGAGCGCGTTCATCCGTGTGTGATGCCACGGATTGATGTGTTAGCATTTTCTCCCTGGAGACTTTGGTTCCAAACCTATTTAAAACCCAGGGAAAACAAACGGGCTGGTCTCTAGGCAGATGTCCCTGGAAATCTGTTTACATCATCACAGTGGCAGCAGCTCAGTGGAAAGGGTTTTATCTGCTCAGGTTGGGGGTAAGGAGAAGGTTGGCAGGTCCTGGTGGAGTTCCATGGCAAAGCTCCTTTGGTAATTCCTGAGCAGCCACCTTGCTGCAGGGATTTGATGTCCACAAATCTACAGGAATCCATACAAGGTGAAATGAAAAGATCCAAATTGCTTAGTCTGAGTCTACAATCTTGGAACCAGACTCTACAGCACTGTGCTCTACTGCTCCTTGCCTGCACACAGATTCCCAAGGGATCAGTGATGGGTGCAGTCTTGTTCAGCTTATTCACCACCCTGGATGAAGGGACAGAGTGTTCCCTCAGCAGGTTTGCTGGTGATACAGAACTGGGAGGAGTGGCTGGCACACCAACAGGCTTTGCTGACACTCAGCCAGACCCAGAACAGCCTGGAGAGATGGGCAGGGAGGAACCCAAGGAAGTTCAAGCAGGTGCCCCTATCCTGGGGAAGAATGACCCCCTGCACCAGCCCAGGCTGGGGCTGAGCTGCTGGAAAGCAGAGCTGTGGAGAAGGACCTGGAGTGAGCCAGCACTGTGTCCTTGTGGCCAGGAAGACCAATGGAATCCTGGGCTGCATGAGGGAAAGTGTGGCCAGCAGGTCTAGGGAGGTGATCCTGCCCCTCTCCTCAGCCATGGTGAGGGCTCATCTGGGACTGCTGGGTTCAGTTCTGGGCTGCTCAGTACAAGAAATGCAAGGAATTACTGGAGTGGGCCAGTGGCTGTGAAGGTGCTGAGGGGACTGGAGCAGCTCTGCTGTGAGGAAAGGCTGAGGGAGCTGAGCACCAGCTCTGGAGAAGTGACAGCTGAGAGGGGAACCAACCAATCCATACAAATACCTTAAGGGCAGGTCTCAGGAGGATGGAAACAGACTCTTTCCAGTGGTGCCCTGAGACAGGACAAGGAGCAACAGGCACAAACTGAAACACAGGAAGTTCCATCTGATTATGAGGAAAATCCTCTTTACTGTGCAGCTGATGGAGGCCTAGAACAGACTGTGCAGAGAGGTTGTGGAGTCTCCTACTCTGGAGATGCCTAAAACCCACCTGGATGTGATGCTATGCTTGAGCAGGGGGCTTGGATGAGATCCTCTCCAGAGCTCCCTTCCAACCCCAACCATTCAGTGACAACCTCACCCCCAGGTCATTGCTGATTTTTTGATAGGATCCTTCACATGCATGAAATTCAACACATTTGTAATTCAGCAGGCTTGGGGCTCAGTTTCAAAAGCATTTTGAGAGGATACAAAGGCTCCCTGTAGTCAAAGGAGAGGAAACAATGTGGTTGTTGGAGTTACAATTCCACCATCTCACATCCTTTTGGCAGAGGAGTTCCGGGCCCAGTTTGGGAGAGGAGATAAAGCAGGAACAGGGAACAGAACTGCAGGTCACTGCTGCACCTCCTGCAGCTGCACCCCGAGCCCAGCCTGGAGTTTCCTGCCTGAACCCATATCCACTGAATCTCCTGGGATTCCACCAACAACTCAGCAGCAGATCTGCCTATCCATGTAATGTAAGTAATGCTTTTAGGAGCATTATCCATGCATGGTTTTCCCGTACATGGAATTTGGCAGGAAGCCATTCGACCGAATGTTTCACATTGCAAAAAAATCAGCAGACTTGTTTTCTTTTTAAACTATACTTATTAAAAAAAAACAAACCCCCTACTAACAAAGTAGGAAAGTTATTCACCATCACCTCAGGTTCAACCATGCAGAATCAGATGGTTAAATATGCATATTTTAAAAGAAATATCTTCCTTCCCACCCTCCCACCCTGTGCTTTATCATTTAAGCAGTGGCAGCTCCTACAGCAAAAATTGGGTATTTCATAAAATGCAACAGGAACACAGAAACAGAGTTCCCAAGTCCAAGCCCCATCTATCATAAGTAACTACATGATTATCTCTTCCAGACACTGATCAAATCCCAGTTTATGAGCAGTTTGCTTTTTACAGCTATTACACAAAATGAAAAGCTCTTCCAGAACCCTGCTGCTCTGACGACGATGAGTCTTCCTCCTCTCCAACCAAAACCTTTTCAGGACCAGTTTATACATGTTTGTTCCTGCACTCAGTGTTGTCCTTAACTTGAATTGTTTTTCCTCTCCCTGGTATTTAGTCCCCTGATATATTTATAGAAAGATCATATCCTCTTTCAAACTTCATTTTGCTTGGAATAGTAATGTTAGAAATAGACTGACGAATTTACTGCAGTGGATAGGGATGGACAGACACACACACAGAGGCTAGAGCACTCATTTTAAAAGAAATGCAGAAAATACAGATGAGTCAATCTTTAGTTAACAGTGCATTATTTCAATCATGTCAGCAACACGTGTCAACTACAATAGAAAAGACAGATCAAGTTCAAAACTGATTTTCAGGGGGTTTTAGATCTAATGACTATCCATCTATAGAAATACCAGAAAGTCTACCTGGAATTCTGTAAAACTCTAGCCTAGGGACGGTACCAAAAGCCCACAATGAATATAATTTCTAAAAAAGAGAGCTGTGAAGACTCAAAAGTACATTTAAACAGAGACTAGTTGGGTGGTAAATAATATGCAGAAAAAGAAAAAGTAATCAAGTCGCTATTAAAAAAAAAACCTAGAAGGAAAAGAGATTGAACGTACTATTGTCTGTTCGGAGAAAATTTCTTTCACAAAAATATTTTCTAGCTTTGCTGCTCTGGTACATCAATCCTGAGCACTCTAACTTTTGACTTATAATGATATTCCTTCAGATACAGCTTCACCGAGGGAGGAATGGGAAGTGCATCAATACCATCATAAGTTGTACAGTTGCAAATGACCGTTCTACATATATGCTGGAGAGAGAAGGGAAAGGTCCTGTTCAGGGGAGTGGATAAAAGTGGTTCAAAGAACATACAGGAACTTGGATCTTTGTAGTGTTCTAGGAGTCCCGTGATGTCAGGGGAATGGAAGACACAGGGATCATGGGCATCAAAGCTGAAGTTGTGATTCCACTGCTCTATCCGAGCGTGGAGGGAGCGACTGTAGCGCCGGAAGCTCACGGAAAACAAATAGTCCTCCTGGGCAGAGTCTCTCAACAGAAACGTTCCCTCTGGCTTCCCTTCCAGCAGCGCCTCAGCTGCGTATTTATCCATGACTCCCCAGTAGCAGGGATTGTTATTGATCTGGAGGAGGTCTGGCACTAGGCAGTGGACATAATCAATCTGGGTGTGGTATTTCGGGGGCGTTTCCATCCGTAGCAGCTCGTCATCTGTTTCCCACTTGGGCTTGTTTCGTTTCCGAGAACTTGTGCACAGAGTTATGACTTCATCGTCGGAGTCCATGTCGCTCTCATCTCTACTGCTCCTCGCCACCTTACCTGTCACCAGCTCAGGCCTCGGGTCACCCCGAGAGGAACTGCTGTCAGTGAAGTCACAGGACTGGGAGGGAGAGTCCATCCCCCCATTGGCAATCTCCTCGTCTCGCAGCTGATCCTCCCTTTCCTCGTGCTGGGATAAATCAGCAATTATCCATTCTTCTGCCTTTGGACTTATAGGGGCCGTGTGCCTTTTGATCAAGTGCCACCTGAAAGCCAGCTCTGAGCGTGGAGGGAAAGGACACTTATCCAGCATCAGCTCACTGATATGGATCTTCCTTTTGGATGGCAGTCCGGAGGCGTGCCGGCTGCTGCAGTTCTTGATGGGAAAGCACTGACCCACAGCATCCTGCAGCTTCTGTTTGAGAGACCGCCCTAAAAACCTGTGGCCACAGGACCGGTCCAGATCCAGCTCGATGGACGAGCAGCTGTACTTCCTCTCTTGGCTCTTTAAATTACTCCCCGACCTTCCTGCAGCGCTTGCTGTTTCAGCATCAGGACAATGCTCACTTTTCTTGGACCAGGAGAGCTTCTTCCCACTCCAGACATAGCCATCCTTTCTGTCTGCGCTCCTGCTCCGGCTGCTTTTGGGCCTCACATCTGCGCTTTTCGCACTGCTGTCCTTGTTTTCTGCCATTGTGACAGCTTTGCTTCACGAGTTGCCAGGAAGCACACGCTGTGTTTCTTGTGGGGTTTTTCTACATAAGGAAGCTTCCTCGAGGCACTTTCTGGAAATATCTAAGGAAAAAGAAAACACGGCTCAGTTAACTGCTATGCACACACACAATGCAACAGCAGTGCTGGTGGATACAGGACAACAGTGACAATTCATTGCTGACCACGAAAAAATCATGTGATTGAGGTGAATTCAGTAGCTCACCCCACAAATACCAGCCTGATCCCAGAAAAATCTCTCTAAACCCTTCCTTGGGAAAAGCATCCTCCAGAAAAAAAAAACTACCTTAACATATTTGTTGAGTTTTCATTCTGATTATGCAGCAGAGCAGAACGTTTTAGGCGTTGGCAACCCCATTGTGGCAGGGCCCATTTCAGAAGGAAACCCTTCCTGGGGCAGATGATACTGCTTTAGCTGTTCATGGAGCAAATTCTGCATCTCTTCCAAATAACCTTTCAAGAAGGAACAAACCAGAACAGAAACAAGTAGGTCAGAGTACAAAGAGCTACTGTACCTAGATGATATGCCTGTTTGCTACTAATCCACAGGATGGGATGCCAGAGATCTTTTTCTTAACTGACACTTTTGGGTCACTTTTGGGATAAAAAAAAAAAACCAAAAAACCCTAAATTTTATCAGTCACAGATTCTGTCAGTTTCTGAAAGCTGTTTTCCTCTGCCTTTTCAAAGGAAGGGAGCTAGGAAATACTGAGGCCCTAAGGGATTGAAATATCTGGGGCTTTACATACTGAAAAGGATTAAAACAATCCAGCCCCTTACTAAAAGCAATTTTAAAAGGCTGTGAAAGATGGAACTGCTTATTACTCATTAGAGAAGGAAGTTTACATTATTAAAATCAGTGTTGCTTTGAGACCTACGGTTGCTGATTTCATTTTCTTTTGTTTCCAAAGTTATATTGAATTCTCAGACAGATAAGAGGTTTCCTTTTGACTGCTGCACTTTGAAAAAAAGATGAAAAAAATCCTCTTTTGATTACTCAGTTGAAAGTGGAGCAGGATTTTTTCAAGATACATAGATAGCAATATGGTATGGATGCTATACCCCCTGAGGCATGGCAGGATGTAGAAATATTTCCCACCACTTATCATAAAAAAATCAGGATATTCTATGATTCTGTGATGCTTTTGCACCAAAACCATGCACAGCTCCTCTGGAGCTTTTTTTTTTTTTTAGCTGTGGGTTTTTCTGTGTTGTTTTGGGGTTTTGGACTTTTTTTTTTACAACTAATTGACATGGTAAATACTAAGCAGGAAAAGAAAAGGGCATCCACTTCCTCTCTCCATTCAATCCATTCTCATCATCAGGATTAGCCAGCATGACACAACCTCTCTGCAGTCCCCCGGGGCTGCGCAGGCTGGGTTGGAGCCTCTGCTTTCAGTAAGAGAACAAGGCAGCCTTGCCAAAAGGCTCACATGCAATCTGTGGGCCAAATGCATCCCAGATGGAACTTTCACCCAGGAATTTTTCACATTGCATTCCTTATTTAAAACCCACAGACCTGAGAGCTGTGGGGGAAAGGAAAAGGCAGGGGAAGGGAGGAGATGAAGAAATGTAGAAGGAAGGTAAGATAGGTTCACTATTGGGAATATGCTGGGAAGAAAAATGGCATCAGAGCAATGCAGATGAATATCACCTCACTGGTGCCAAGAGGAATCACAGGAAAGGGTCCATATTTCAGCAATTACAAATCAAAGATTAAACTAAAGATTTATTTTTCTTCTCTCAGGGTTTTGCAAATTGCTTTTCAGTGAAAGCATGGCAAGACACAATGAAGACAGGAGAAAAGAAACATGTGCATATGAGACTCAAAACATCTTTATTTAGACCAGGATTGATTCATCGATTTCTTTTGGAACCTTGATATTTTTCATCCAGAAATACCTAGAATGAAGCACTGAATTTTCTCCACAATTCAAAAAAAAAGAGGGAAAAAAAGGATGAATGAAGCACTGAATTTTCTCCACAATTCAAAAAAAAAGAGGGAAAAAAAGGAATCTCATTTACCCTGGTGACAGCCTGAAGTCACTGAAGACAAAAAGTTTTTAGATTCATCCTGTGTAAAATACATTAATTGTCTATATATGGGATTTTTAATTGGACAGAGAGATATCACTGAGGTTGCAAAGTCAAGTATTTAAAAATTAGGATATGACAGTTTGTAATTGCTTTTGAAACCTTCAATTATCTCATTCTGCTCATCCAGCCCATATAAGGAATAAGAACATGCAGATTTTGGGCTTTTAATTAAAAACTACAAAACATACAAAGCCCAGAAGTGCCTGTTATCTCCTAATTTTAGCCTTCCAACTGAACGAAGCTCAGGTTTTATGGAATTTCTGGGCTGCTGTTGTATTGAGCTGTATAGCCACCTTCCCCTTTGTACCTTTCTCCTGTCGTGAATCATTAGTGGTACCTGAACCCTGAAAGAGAAGCTGGGGAAGCAGCACGTGATGCTGCAAAGCCACGCACCATTAGCCAGAGCTGCTTCCCTGGGGTTTGATTCTGCCACGTCAGAGCAGGAATTGCTAATCAGACAGAACACTAGAGCTGTGAAAAGAGCAGGGAACAAACGAAGAAAAAAGGGATGTCATCCTACTAAAGCCAGGTTTGAACCTGACCATGTGTTATAAACTGTGTGCCGTGGGAGAGCTGCCTCCCAAATCCTAAATCCCAAATCCCAGTGTTTGGCATTACAGCGAGGGATGGCACCTTCACACCCTTCTGGATCAGTGATTCACGGCCCCACCAATAAAATGGGGAGCAAAAATAATTAAAGTGTCAGGAAGAAAAAGGCATAAAGGGCAGGGAAGGCATTCAGTGCTCTATTACCACTTGGGGCCATCCATCTAAAGCAGCTCTTCCTTTCACAGCAGCATCCAAGGGAAATGCCATTAACGGCCGGAGCGCTGCTGGAAGAGCAGGACAGGAGGGCAAGGACAAAAGAGAGGGAACACAGAGTGTACTTCTTCCTAAAGGGGAAGGTTAAATGGAGGAGTCCAGCACTGTGCAGCTCACACACATCAGGTCTGAGCTCTTTTTGGGAGAAATAATGAGTGCCTTGCCTGCAAAAGCCTCGTCCTGCACGGGGACACCTCAGGCACCTCCGATGATGGCAGATTTGACAAAACCCTTATGCTGGAAACCCTTTCCCCTAAAGAAACAGCAAAGATAAAGACACATGGGGGGATAAGCAGAGTTCACTTCAGGCCAGAGGACCCGGCTGCTAGTCCAAGGTTACCCAACACTGCCACAGCTACAGTCCCTGAGGACAGGCACAGAGCTGGGTGGCTTTTGCTGTGGGTTTTGTGCTCCCTCCTTCAGAGGTTCCTCTCTCTTGTCTGCAGACAAAGTGCTTTTTCTTTCAGGAGCTGATGCCTCTACCCTGAGACTTCAAGCTCACACTAAAAACAATATCCAGTTGCTGTTTGGAGGGATAACAATATTCCCTCCTAGCCAGGGATGGCTGCAACCCACAGCTGTGATAAGACAGCGACAGCCTCACCATATGTCCAATCAATAACGCCAATACCATACATGTAGACAGCCTTTTTTTTTTTTCATTTATTCAATAAATACTTGAACACTGAACTGCTTTAACCAGATACTTCTGTCCTGAGCTGCTGGATCCTTGCCTCTAGCCCAAGAGTCCTCTTCATCAAGCTGCTTCCCTTTCTGTATAAAGAAGGAGCAGATGGTGGGGGGTCTCCATCCCAACCTCCCACTTGGAGTGGGATTGCTGCCAGCGTGGGCTCAGGGGAGCCATGGCATGGCCTGGCCATGTCCTGAAAAGCTCCCAGGATGAAGGTCCCACCACCTCTCTGGTGCTTCCATGCTGCACAAGCCTCCTAGTGCAGGAAGTACTTGGAAAGTTTTCCAAGTACACAAAGCATTGCCATATTGTTCCTCTAATTAAACAACAAAAGAAGGCTCACAAAGAACAATGAATCCATTTTGGAATTGTTATAGAAGTTGATTTTGTAGAGCTGATAAAATCTTGAGAGAGAAGAGCAAGCAATAAACTGGAGTACTTTTTCTTTCATAACTTACATGAAAGTTATTTTAAAACAAAATCTCTCTGGTCACAAGCTGCTTTCATTAATTTCACCCAATTAGATTTTGGCCACAGGAACACATTTTAAAACCTGACCTTCCCAACCTACTAAGGATAACAATAAATCTCAATTCCTCTGTCTTAAATTATTTTTCCTCAGTTTTGGCTTTACTTTGATTTATGATACCATCTAAAAATACCTAAGCTTGACTCCAGAGGCCTTTACAGCAAATTAAAGCAATTATCACACATACACACAAAAGAAAAAGACTTTATAAGGTACCATTTGCACCTAAATATTTTTTCCTTGGAAATACCTTTGATTTATCCCCAGAACTGCAGGAGGAGGGGGGACCATGCCCAGCTAACCCCAACCCGGGGGATATTTTATTCACTCCCAGGAGGTGGAACTGAGCCGGCAGCAGGTGCCAGAGGTGAGGGCTGCTCGCATCTCCTGCCTTAATGAAGCTCTGCTCATGTGTGGCAGGAGAGATGCTCGGCAAACCGCAGCAGCCTCTCCAGCACTAAATCAGTGAAAGCTTTACGGTCCATGACCAACACTCCGTGCTCCACCCAGAAACCGAGGGCAGCAGCGATTCCCGGCTCGCAGCCACTCACACTAATAATCGAGGCAGCAGCAGCCCGAGCTCCCGACCGGATTTAAAGTCTAACTTTGCATTTGGTGCCCTGTCGCTTCCGACAAAGCCACAGCGCCTGCAGCCCCTTGGAGAAGTGATCACCCCTGAAAAACCTCCCCTGAAAAACCTCCCCCCAGTTTTCCTGTGCTGTTCAAAGAGTTATCCCAGCAGGCAGCTCCTCCAGACAAGGAAATTTAATGTAAAACGGCTTTTATACTGCAAAACATTTTAGGTGCAGTTTCTACCAGAGACTCTGAAAATTAAAGTGATTAAGAAAAATAAACACATTTGACAGGCATTTGTCTCCATCCCAGGCAGCGGCTTGCAGCAGGAATAGCTTGGTCTTCCCACTCATCTGATAAGCAGTTCAGCTCCGAATCATTTCCCCAGAACACATTATCCTCGCCAGAAATCATGATTTACTGAAATATGTAGGATACACCCATGGAAAACATGTCTCTACACAGCTTCCACGAGGTTTAATAATGAAATCTGGCCATATTTCTGTAATTTTTTTAAAGAAGTGTGCCTGCTTTGTAATCTGTCACTTATTCATTCATGAAACTAACAGCAATGTGAGTGTTAGAAACACAATTCCAATATAAATAAATCACTCTGCTCACCCCAACAACCAATAAACCAGCTGCAGAGCAAAACTGAAGATAAAAGAGCTTTGCCTGGAAGCAATTTTTTCTTAGAAACAGGAATAAACTGGGCCAGATCATCAAGGCTACATAAAGGGAAAACAGATAATGCTGGTTTTCCCTCTTTATTTCAGGTATGGTCAATTCTAGCATTTTTTTTAATCCTTCAAGAGATCAGCCAAGAGGCTTTCTTCCTATTTTTCAGCTAAAAAAAAAAAAAAGCTTAATGATTTTTGCCGTGCAATCGCTACCTGCCTGACTACCACTGCTGTCACCTCCACCTGGCAGACGCATCAGGATGGCTGGAATTCCAGAGTAATTCCAGAGTAATTCCATAATGACCATGAGGATCTCCAAAGGGTCGGGTCCTGCGGCTGGCTGAGCGCAGCCCCCCGCTGCTGTGGGGGTGCTGCCCAAGGGGGGCGAGGGGCACAGCCCCTCATCTGGGCTTTCCCCGCCGCCCCTGTGCCTCGGGAGCAGCTGCCAATAGATCCACACACAGAAGGATAAGCTGGGAAATATGCGCCCTGTATTTGTGCTCGGGTACACTCGTCGGGCACGGGGTTTTTCAGAGGAGAGGCACACAGACCGAACCCTCCGGGGACAGAGCGGAGACCCTGCACCGGATCCCCGGCGGTGCCGGGAGACCCCGGGCTGGACGGGCACTGACAGCGGCTCAGACCCCGGGCCAAGCCCCCGGGGACGGCAGAGCCTGGCCCGAGTCTGCCCCGGTGACAAGGCTCAGCCGCCGGGTTGAGTAACCCCGGGGACAGCAGAGCCTGGACCGAATCCCCCCGGGGGACGGCGCTGACCCCGGTCCGAGCCCCGCGGTGACAGCGGGCGGACCCCCGGCCAACCCCCACCGGTGACCGGAGACCCGGTGCGAGCCCCCCGGGACTGACAAGAGCGCAGCCCCCGCACCTCGCCGGTGAGAGGCGACCCCGACTTCCCCGGTACGGCTGCTCACCCCCGCCTGCCGCCCCTCAGCCGCTTCCCGACCCCGACTCACGGTGCTGCGGCGGGCGCTGCCCGCGGGGCCGGCGCTCTCCGCCGCCTCTGTCCCCAGCGGGTTGCCGGCGGCTCGGCGGGCTCGGCACTGGCAGCCGCGGCCCCTCAGNGCGGGGCATGGCGGGTGCGGCCCAGCGGGACCCCGCGGGCGGGGCGGGATCTTTCCGGAGCGGGGGCAGCCGCGGGGAACGGGGGTCCTTGCCGGGGTCCGGCGGGCGGCTTGTCTGGCCTGCCCTGGGACGGCCGAGGGAGAGGCCCCGGCGTGCCAGGCCCCTCCGGGCCTCGGTAACCCTGGCCCGCATCCCCGCGGTGTCCCTGTCCTCACGCCCCATATCCCTCTGTCCCCCTCCACTCGGTGTCCCCATCCTCACGCCCCATATATCCCTCTGTCCCCCTCCCCTCCATGTCCCCACCCTAACTCTCCCTATCCCCGTGTCCCCATCTCCACCATATCCCCCTTCCCGAATTGTCACCCTCCCTACAGTGTCCCCATCTCCCACCCCGTGACCTCATCAGCGTGTCCCTCATTCCGGCAATGTCCAATGTCCCCATCTCCTATCCCCTTGTCTTTTTCCCGATGCCCCCATCCCTCTGGCTCCCCCTAACCCCATCCCCATCCCCGCAATGTCACCATCCCTACAGTGTCCCTATCTGCTGTCCCCATGACCTCATCAGTGTGTCCTCATCTCCCATCCCATGCCCCCATCACTGTGATGTCACCTGTCCCCTGCTCCCTTCCCAGCAATGCCCCCATTCTCATGTCCTGTCCTGGTTTGGCCCAGAAGTGTGTTTCTGGAAAAGTCTAACTCAGACCAATCAGTGGTCAATTTGAAATTGGCATGTGGTGTGGCCACTGAGGATCTGGACACGCCTCTGAGAACACACAGGGGTTAAAAGCAGAGGATTCCCAAAGAACTCCCTCTTTGGAGTCTGGTGTCAGTGAGTGGAGTCTGGACCTCTCCCCTGCCCAGCTGCGTCTGGGTGGGGCAGGCCATGCGGACTGGGGGGACGGAGGCTGAAGCCCTGCAAGGTGCAGGGGTGGAAGAGACTTGGGATGTCTGGGCAGCCCCCCCAGAGAGAGTGATAGAGACTGTGGTATACCCTTTCATGGGGGCCCTGTCTGGCACTGTGCCAGGGTCAAACCATGACATGTCCTCATCCCCACAGTGTCCTCATCTCCCATCCTGTGTCCCCATCCCCTTGGTGTGTCCCCAGCCCATGTCCCCATCCCCTCAGGTGGTTGAATGGGTGGGTGTCCCAGCAGCTCTCGCCTTGTCCCCCCATCTGATGCTCTTCCTGAAGTGTTTCCTTTTAACTGATGCCATTTCTCCTTTTTTCCTCTCCATGAGCAGACAGGTGGGAGCAAGGATGCCATCAAAGCAGAAGCCGATGCGGTACGGGCACACCGAGGGACACACCGATGTCTGCTTCAATGACACTGGCAGGTAATGACACTGGCAGCCCCGTTCCCAGAGCCAGGAGAGGAGTGGGCTTGTTCCTGTCTGATGCTTTCCCAGCAGTTTGATATTAGGAAAAACTTCCTCTCTAAAAGAGCAATCAGCCACTGGCACAGCTGCCCGGGGCAGTGGTGGAGTCCCCAGCCCTGGGGGGATTCAAAAGCTGTGTGGGTGTGGCACTTGGGGACAGGGATTGGTGGTGGCCTCAGCAGTGCTGGGGGAGAGGTTGGACTCGATCTTGGGGGGCTTTTTCAGTCTGAATGATTCTGTAAGTTTCTCTGTCAGCCACTGCTGTGTGAGGTACTGGGATGCATTTATGGCCTGGCATGGTCCAAGAAATCCTTTGGGTTTTGCCTGTGCTGAGGACTGGCTGTGTGACATATTTAGGTGCTCTGAGTTTAGAAATTATTTATTTATAACTTAAATGTAAGCATATATATATCCCCATGTATATATATATAAACTCTATATTCACATTTTATGAGAGTGACCTCATAGATTTTAGCAGAAATCAGTGTAGTGTGGGAGTAAATACGTTTATGTATGCACTAAGAAATTAAAAATATAGTTGAAGGAATGCAATATTGGGATTGCTGTATTTTCATCTCTTCCTTGTGCTAGTTCTTGAATGTATAAATACAAACTATATATTTAGTATTAGCTTTTTATAGACTAAAAAGTAAACTAAAAAATCCCCAAGTCCTCTCAAAACAAACTCAGAGGATGCAAGTTATATACTGGTTATGGTTAAGGTCCATATTATTTTAGTCCTTTCTTAAGTTCATTATCATTGCAAAAACAGTTCATAGGAGATGGTCTGCTAACAATCTCTTGAAACCAACAAAAAGCATTGTTTGGCATTCCAACCAGATGCTTCAAAAAGGATTCAGATTCCTGGATGTTAACAAATCCTGTCTCTTTCCACAGCTGTATTGTGACTTCTGGCAGTGATGGAGATGTTAGGATTTGGGAAAACCTGGATGATGATGATCCAAAGTCCATTAATGTGGGAGAAAAGGCCTACTCATGTGCTCTAAAGGTAGGGTTGTTAACACAGCTCCTCACAGTTGTGGGTCTTCCTGCAGATCTGCCAGCTCAGGGATGCTGCCTCTGTGGGTAACAATAAACAGGAATTACCTCCCCCAGACACAGCTGTAGAGGAATTATAACTTACACTGAACTTGTGTAATGCTTTTTTCCCTCCTCTTCCTTCACGTTCAGTTATATTAATTTCTGACTTTGATCTCCATTCTGAGAAAGAAACCCAGCAGATTAAGCTAATTATGCAGTGAACTTTTTAGGCTGTTTCAGTGTTTCCTCACCGTGTGAGTTGCAAGAATTTTCCCAGCATAGGATGTGATCAAGTATTAGAAAGAAAGCCAAGAGGTTGTTTTATGTGGGGCCTGTGTTAAAGTCCAAGGAATTATAATCTGTATTAATCAAAACTTGCTTTCACAAAGTGACTAATGGTTTGGTAACACTTTTTTTTAAATAATTGGTTGACATTTCACTCTCAAAAATGTTGTTTGGCCTAAAGATGCCTCTGACCCAGTGTCCCTGAATATAATTATGTAATAGAAAATAATTATTTTTACTACTCATGTTCATGTATTTGGCTTGAGAATTGTCACATTATTTCCTTCATGTCCATTCTTTTTAATATTACATTAATCATAGTGAGTCTAAAATATTGTCTTTGTGGTAATTTTAGAAGAGAAGACTTCCAGAAGCCTACATCACTTCTAAATATTGTGTATTTAACCTGGCAATGATAAGGAGAAATTTAATTGTTTTTCAAATATTTGTGATTTTGTAGAGCAGTATGAAAAAGGAAATAAATGAGCATTAACATATTTGTATTGCATTGTAAGAATTATCATTTGAAATCGTATTCAGAATTAGTGCCTTAATTGAATCCTCTTTCTTATGTCCTTTTTAACATACATCATGTATCTATTCCTCAATACCAGTAAAGTCTATTTTCATAATTGATTTTTAGGGTATTTTGCTGTAGATTTCCATCACATTAATTATTGTTTCACAAACCAAGTGAGGTGACTTGAATGGATTCTCTTAGCAAATCAGTGGCTGAGCCAGAAATTGCTAAAGCTATTAAAGAATAGATGAGGAAAAATCCTGGGAAAAATTGAAAAAGGTGCTCCTAGTTTTGAGGGATGTGTTTTTTTTAAGCAGTGGGAGACTTAAATGTCAGGCAATCCTTTTTCAAAAATTACCTTTCATTAATGAAATGCCATGAGGGACTGTTCTGAGATGTGGATGTAATCTAGGTAATAAATCTAGTCTCTTATTTTTTTTAGGTTATTTGCTACTGACTGCTGCTTCCTTTACCTTCAGGATTTTTACTGTCATTTTATACACCTTAACAAAAACCCCAACCACAATCCTGCCTCCCCCCCAAAAAATACATACAATAAAGAAGAAAATAAGACATTTCTTTATTTTAAAGTTTTACTGCTGTGTACAACTGAGGAATAGTATTGTCACTCAAAGAGGTATTATTTTCCAAGAATAGGATAATTATTTCTTTTGTTTTGCACTTTTAAAAATTTGGATTAATTTTTAGTAAACATCTGCCTTCTCTTTTCTGCAAAGAAGTGAGATATAGTTCATGAACTACTCATCTTTCCCTGATGGCATTTAACTGAGAATTCCAGTCCAAGGGTGCCCTCTCCTGATGCTGCAGCAGATCTAAATAGCATGCAAGTTACTTTGGTTAAAGTGATAAATTATTAAAGTTACTTTGCTTGTCTGTATTTTTGGGTGGAAAAAATATAAGTTAAAGAGTATTTTCTGTACTAGTTTTACTATCAGATCTTTTTGGAATGAATGAAGTTAATCTGCCAAAATATTTGGGGCATCAGAGCAGGATTTTTGTCTCTGTGGCATAAATATGTTTTAACTGATAGATTTTGTGGCTGATTTTGTTGTCAGAATGGAAAGCTGATCACAGCAGTCTCCAACAACACTGTCCAAATCCACACATTTCCTGAGGGAGCTCCAGATGGGATCCTCACTCGTTTCACCATGCCTGTCAACCATGTCACCTTCAGTCCTGATGGCACCAAAGTTGCTGCAGGATCCAGGTAATGAGTGAGGAAAAGCACTGCTGCTCTTCAGAATCTGGAAACTCCCTCACAGGCTGGTTGTTACCAGCGAGGTCACGAACCCACAAACCTCTGAGGGCTGGAAAATGCCTTCAAGGGCATGGAGGGGAAGAAAGGAATGAAGGGGAGTTTAGGAAACAATGCTCTGGGAGATATTTGATCCACCAAGTAGTTTTATGTAGAAGTCTGGTGTTGTGAAACAATTTCTTTCTGAAAACACTCTCTTGAGTGTTTTCAGCTCTCAGTTGAAGCACAAGTGTTCACCCTTCTGGATGCCTCCTCTCATCAAGGGTTTTGTCACTGGGAGCTGAGGATGATGTCCCAACTGCTCAGGATCATGGAGCTGCAGATGAATGTGCACATCTAAAAGTTAGATTGGTTCTGATTTGTGTGAGAGCTTTGAGTCATTCTCTGGCATAAGCATCACTGATCTGCCAAATGATAACAGATGACACTTTCAAGACTTGCCTGAGGGGAATTTAATATGTAGTTTAGTTCTTTTCTTAGGGCAGCATGTGTGCTTTTGC